CCACACTTGTGTTTTCACACTTAATGACAAAAACATAAACCACATTTCCCCTGAAGCCAACACAAAGACAGGAATGGGTTGACCTTTTTTTTTAAAAACTGACTTTGGGAGACAGGAAATAGAGACACACTCGCCACCAGTAGCCAGATATGTTTTCTGTGGCTTGATCTCTCCTGATATGCTGAAACGGCTTGCCTTTGATGCTGGTCAAGTGATAATTAGGGGAACTACAGCATTTCTGGGTCACTGAAACAAGTTATGACGCAGTTAAACAGACAGACAAACATGCCCACTAACTCATGGATCGGTGTGAAGACAGTTAAGTGTGAAATGACACAAGAATACAAAATAATCTTTTGTAATCTCTTGTAAATCAGGTTATGATTTATAATATGATTCCGAGATTCAAAACGTAACATGTTCAATTTCAACATATTGTCGAGTTAATTGCATATTGTTATGGTGATAACTTACTAATCCCCAGCCTGCTGAACGACTGTCTGAAAGCGAATGTGCCCGGGTCAGCAGGATGGCGTCTTTGACTGTGGCGAGGAGCCAGAGCGTTTAAGCCTGCAGCACCTCTCCATATTGTTCTGTCGGCCACACAACAAAACCAGGGCCTCCGCTGCAAAATGCAGCCAAGAGCAGCACCGAGCAGCAGACAAACTGAGCAGGTCAGGGGGCCGTTGGTGTACCAGTCGTTCAGTCACACACACATTTCTTTGTTTGAATTCGGGTTGGTGTTTGGTGATATGTCTTAAAGAATGGCCAGCAACAAGGAGGCCGGACCTTTGGATATCACGACAGCTGCCCCAGAGGTGAGTTTTGGTCCATCTAGATTTCTAATAACTACTTTTTGTGATGTTAGGCATCTTAATATATTGTGTTAACTATTCAAATGTGAATGCTACAGGACACTCAGGGTGATGGTATAAAGTCCAGACAGGACCAGGAGGAGAAACTGATCCTGACCGCCTGGCAAAGCATGGTGAGTACACTAATCAAATCAAATCAAGTTTTATTTATATAGCACATTTTTAAACGATTTTTGGTCGAGCCAAAGTGCTGTACATAAAATAAAAAATAACCTACAGTAAAGACACTTTACAGCAAATACAACAGCACAGTTTGTGCAGAATATCAGTATGAGAAAACGACACCCTCTGTCCTTAGACCCTCACATCGTACAAAGAGAAACTTCCGGAGAAAAACCCACAATTCAAAGGGAAAAATGGGAGAAACCTCAGGAAAGACATTCCTTGTAACTGTATCAATCCTACATGAACATTTATAACATTTGATGGGGTGTAGCGATATGTGTGTTCAATGAAACGCACGTGCTAAAGAACAGTGAATCTAACAGTTGGAGCTGAATCAAAACCTGCAGTACCTAAGTGATTGCCTGGTTGAAACAAGAATTTTTATTTTATCTTTTTAACTTGATCTTTCGCATGCCTTTTTTTCCTTTGGTAAGTAGTCTTGGTAAATGCACTTTTGCCCTTTTATCTATGTATAGGAAGGACTTGGACAGCCAAGTGCTTTCTCTGATATAAGAAGTCTCACATTATACCTCAATGGCTTCCCACAAGTCAGACACTCGACGCTGCCTGACTTTCCGTAATGTAGCTGTTTGCAGCTTTTGATGTTTGTAGTGTGACCATAGCATTAAAAGGATTGAGTCATGGCCTTGATTTATGCATGCTGTCGAGTCACATATAGAAAAATGCCAATATGGCTCCAAGGCATGTGTAAGTAATATTCTACACATTCATTGGTATAGTAGTAGATGTAGCAGCAGCATTCATCATTAATGAAAGCAGGTGTCAGTCCTGACTAGCTGACAGGTGTTTGGCCTCTTGCAGTCCTCAGCTCTGCAGCAGAACAGTGTGTTTAAGGACTACAAAGCTCCAGGGCCGGCTCAGTCTTTCCTGGCCAAACAGAGACAATCCACCCAGGCCAGGAGGGCGCTCTTCCTCCGGCTGCAGCCCAGGTAGCGGCATCCACCTGGGAGGAGAAACGGAGGCATGCAGCCCACAAATGGGCATGATGGAAAGCAAGATTGTGGAATGAGGGTGAATTTGTTTTATTAAAGGTCCCATGTCATGGCCATTTCTACTGATCATAATTCCATTGTTGAGGTATGCTACAATAGATTTATATTGTCCAATGTTCCAAACTCACATTGGTTTCTCATACAGCATCTCTGTATAGTATGTGTATTCACTCTCTGTCCTAAACGGCTTGTTGGAGCTCCTGCCCCCCCCTCCCTGGGAGCCCAGTGGCCATCTGCGAGACTGCGAGACAGCGAGACACAGCGAAACCCAGCCCGAAACCAGCCCGAACACACACACACACCCGCAGCCTGGCTGTGAGTTTGTGTGTGTGCTCACACACAAACTCACAGCCTCACCGCATCCCGTTGTCTCAGGCTGAGAAATCCGGGGAGCTGCAGCTGAGAAAAAATGTAGGTTGCAGTTGAATAGTCCATTTAGCTTAGGAACCTTCCTAACGGAGTGAAATGACCCGGAAGTACCTCAGTGGCAGCCATGACAAGAGCCGTTCAAATTCTCTAAATGATAGGAAAGGAGGTTTCAAACTTCCTTTATAACCTCCTTTAGCTTAGGAACCACTGGACCTCCCTTTACTAAAGGAGAGGAGAAAATGCTGCCCCACAATGCCTTGTAGCCGCAGCATTTGCCGTCACTCAACATTCGGCCGTTCACGGAAACAACCGATTATGACCGAGAAATGATATCATGAAAGTTACGGTGCTTATTAAGCATTTTAAAACTGTAACTTGCCAAAGTGCTTTGTTTTGAACGTTCATCAGTATTATAATGAAAAAGAGAAATATGAACGTTAGTTTTTACTGAAATTATCAAATGAAGTCAACATCTCACAGTCTTTACTGAGCTGTGTGGAGTTTGTTCAACTTTTAAAAGATGTTTGAATGGTGATATACACAGTGATAGATGTTAAGGACTAACGTTTATAATAAATACATTTGTATTGATTTTAAGATATTTCCATAGTTCATACAATCATACGTATTGGGATCATTTGTATTAATGTGGACCGGAGGGAGAGGGTGACGAGCATACATTTCACTTTCATTTTTTATTTCAATTCCAACTTTGGTCATGAAGAATATGTTTCTCTGTTGTCCACGTTCATAAAGCATAACACAACAGCATCAGAGCACGGTGCAGAGTCTCTAGATGAGTTTACAGTAGTCCCCTCGTTCTTATTAAACATCCATGTTGTAGTTCTCTGTATAGAAAACTGTAGTTTCCATAGTTTCCCCACAGCAGCAGACGCACATTCATGACGTCCGCTGGCGCATCATAAACACGTCGGATAGTGAAAGTGCATTCGGATTCTCTAAAGTACCGCGGTCTCTTCTCCTAAGTCCTTTTGAATTCTCCTATCCACTATCCCTTAACCCCGTGACGTTTCACTCAGAGGTCAAGGGATAGACGATAGGGATAGACGTTAGGAGCTGATTTTTGGATTATTCGACTGCAACCTGAGTGTGTGTGTGAGGAAGTCCATTTGGACCAATCCGCGTACTTAACGTAACGGCTCCGCGGACGTAACGTAACTGTACGTCACTATACCCAAATACGTCACTGTACCCAGGAAGAAAAAGAGAAATCTCCAACGAGGCGTTCTGGGGCAGCATTGACAGGTTTTTTCTGTGTTAGAGTTTTACTCGCTACAGGGTGTACTTTGAGGGTTTGTGACTCTGCAGACCGTTTACATGCAGAAAAAGCTACATAACACACAAGGGGACGGGTAATAACCAGAAAAGCATGACATGGGAGTGGGACCTTTAAGTCACTGCTGTGCTGTTTGCTGCTATCACCCTCTGCTGGTCAATGTTGGAACTGGAGTGATATTTGGCACTTATTAGAATGTGTTATAATAAAGTATTGTTTTTGTCTGTTTTATACATAAATATGTGTTAATAATCACCACATTGTCTGCTCCATTCAGTGTTGTATAGTTTTACATTTATTTTTGCAGGTAGGATACATTTTCATTTAGAAATTATGCAAAACCTTAATTATAACTTTTCATGTGGTCATTAATGTAAAAAAAGTCAGGTAATCTCATTCTCTTCATTCAATATTTGTTTAAATTAAGTAACATACATGCATTAGGAATCATTCTATTTACAGTCAAACGATAAAAAAAAAAAGTAAACAAAGAAAACTGTAACCCATTTGTCTTCATTTCAGCAGCATTTTTTCAGTCCAAATTTTGATTAATGCTAAATATTACAACAGACTTCAGTAGTTACAGGCAATACATTGTTATACTACAATATTATGTGCAGATAACCAGAATATTTTTACTTTACACACACATAAGACTTGTATTTGAAGCCCATTTTTCTCCTATTCATCTTCTTTTTACACATGTAGCTTCGACCTGTTTAGCACAAATGTTCCTTACAGCAACTCCAACACTCACATGTTGTTGTATTTTATGTATCTGACAACAGATATAAGGAGCAACTAGGTAAATTAGCCTACTATAAGCTAGCTTTTTGAACAAACTAGCTTAATTATGAAGCTAGCTTGATATTAAGCTATCTTAATTATTAAGCTATCATGATTATTAGGCTAGCTTATTACATCTCTAAAGTCCTGTCTCGTAGTGTGGTTGTTGACTCTCGCAACTAAACCTAGGTGACAATTGAATGCATTGGTGTGTAACATGCTAGCTGCTTACACTGAGTAAAATTGTAAGGGATTGCTTCTTCCTTTTTTGATGGAGTCCAATCAGAAAACCCCTGTCTTCAGTTCTAAGCTAGGCTAAACTACAATACAACTTGTCTAGCTTAACACAAACTTGTAATGTCTGTATTGAATGAACAGACATGTAATTGTTTGTTTTCATACAGACTCAGTAAGACATGATTCCTCCTATGTCAAAGTTTTCCTATGAAATTTGTTTTATTTTCTTTAAATTTGAAAACAACTGATAACTCTGGTCCAAAAGTGTATAGATTCAAAGTAAACGTGCAAGCTCAGTTTTGTATATATTACACATTTTATCCATAAAAAAACGTGCAATGGATCGATCATTATGGTTTCAAACAGCCAAAAGTTAATGGGAACATCACCACCCCATGTCCATCTAAGACCCAGTGAGCTCTGATCCCATGCTCACACTGCGAAAGCGCTGAGGTTCGTTGTGAGAAGGCACAGTGAGGAAAGACTTTTTGTTTCCACCAAGAGGAGGTTTGGGGATAGTGGGCACAGCTCTGTTGTGGTTGATGGCCGGCTGTGAGCTGCAGTGCTCCAGACTGGAGTCGGCAGCCGGGTGAAACGTGAAGGCAGAGCGGTGACGGGAAGTGAAGGGAATGCCCGATGCTGACCGAGTGGACGTCTCTCTGGAGGACTGGGGGGGGACGTAGAAGCCGTGATGAAGGAGCTTGAATCTCCCCAACTGTACTCTCTACTTCGTCTCTTTCCTCCCTTATGTACAACTCTTCATCGCTCTTCTCCTCAACTTCACTCATCTCCTTCTTCTCATTGAAGACAGAATGACGTTGCCTCTCGGTGTTCGCACCAAACTGAACCTCCAGCAGCGGTGTCCTCAGGCCCTTCTCGTCCCTGACACTGCACACGGTGCTCTGGGTGTCCTGCCCCAGACCTGACGGCAGCGACCCACCTTTACCTATTTTAACACTTTCGTCGTCGTCGTCATCATCGCTCGTGCATTGGTCGATGCTGGGGGAGTGGCGTAGCCTCTGGAGTTGTGCTGAGGTGCGACGAAGAGCCCCTCCCATGAGTCCAGTGGGGGAAGGGGCGGCGTTGAGTAGGCGGTTGAAGAGGGCCATGTTGGGGTGATAACTGCTTGACTCCTCCATGTTCTCAGCGATGTCCTCCAGAGGCTGGAAGTGCATCTCCTCTTTAGGGATCCTGTCAAGAGATGTAGTGACATTTTACCTTACAATTGCATGGATATACCTTAACAGTTTATTTCTATGATTGGTTATTTTCACTTTCTCAGCCCGGATAACACACCACCTCTTGAATTGAGGCTGAATACTTTCACTTTCATCAACCACATTTTCCCAAACATTGGGGAGGATTACAATCAAAAGTATTACAGTCACAAGTCAGGCACACACACGAAAAAGGTAAAACCCAGAGACTTACGCCATGTCGAAAGTGGACCCTTGGAAGGAGGGTTTGCGGAGGACAAAGAGAGTGGCGGCAGTGTAGGGAGGTCTAGGGTTGGAGTCATTCCAGTATCGATCTCTCTCCATCATCGGCAGATCTCCGTACATCTCGTCCACCGCCATCATGGACACCTGCAGAGAAAATGCAGACAGATAACTAATGCACAGTGTGTAACTTGCTAACACTAGGGTTATCTCAAAACAGTAACAGAAGTTGGAGTTCGGTGGCGGTGTCTTCACCAGTCATTGCAATCAGCTTGTCCCGGTTAGGATTCCTTTATTGATCATTGTGCAGGAGGTTTTTACGGGCAGCCAAATTATCCTTTGAGATCTCTCCCTCTTCAAAACCGGTAAAGAACACTAAAAAACGCAGTTTCATAGGATGGAACATAAGCTAACTGCTAACATTAGCTCAGCCTGTCCCTCTGATAACTTAACATTCAGACATCCAATGACTTCAATCCTTCACCTGGTTTTAAAATCTAAGAGTGCATTGTAAAGATAGGACTTGAAACTGGATAAATAGTCAACTATGATGCCAATCGACCCCAAAGCAAACACAAGGCGTGGGCAGACATCTCCTTTAAAGGCGACCAAATTAAAACAAGATAAATAATAAAAAATATATGGATTCCTCTTGAAAACTCTAGTGTATTGTATAAAATATATAACATAGGGCAAGTTATTCTTTGGCAATTTGAATGTGGAAATGTTATATAATGTATTTTTATTTTATTTAACCTTTATTTAACCAGATAAAAGCATTGAGATAGAATCTCATTAGCAATGCTGACCTGGCCAATATATATATAATATATATTTAAGTAAAGGCATGATTGTTAAGCAAAAGAGGTTGAGCAGTAGCAAAATATCAGCCAACACAGACCATGATTTCGACAACAGACATCGAGAGGGAAAATTATAACAGAATATATAGGTAAGGTGTAACAATAGAAAAATAAAGAAAAGGCAGCAGTAACATCAAACAAACCTGGAAATTTCTGTCTATCAACCAGTTGGTCTCAAAGTCATCATCATCTTCTCCAAAAGGGTTGATCAGCTGCTCTGCGACCTACAGGACAAAACAGGACGTGTTACAAGCTAACTACATGGATTATTGATGTGATCCTGGTCTTGTGCACAGATAATGAAATATATGACATGTGACCCTCTCTCTGACCTTGAGCCATCCAGCGTAAAAGAAGAACTGCAGCAGGGTGAAGATGGGCACGTAGAGGTCGAGGTCATGACCCGGATAGCCTTGATTTGGGTCCAGGAACTGTCGACCAATCAGACACACCAGGAAAAAACTGTACACCGCTAAAGTCACCACCTGTGGGAGAGACGATAACATGGTATTAGTTTTTAAGTCCACAAAGCAGACAAACAACAATATGTTATTAGATGTTTTGTAGCCTATTGAAAAAAGTCTGTAAAGAACAGCTTTGTAATAAAGCTCACTGGTTTCAAAGTCAATTATTTTATGGAGATCAGTTTCTGTATCTTACAAAAGTTAAAGCGGCGGAAAGTTTGTCTCAAAACTCTGTGTGTTTAAAAGCCAATTCACAAACTGAAAATTGAGATCCACAAACTAGATTAACAAATTCCTGATCAAAAGTTGTGATATCCACAAATGCTTTTTGTTTATTTGCGAATTCTTTATAGTGTTCATATATTTAGTGTGAATGCTGTTTACAGCATTCCACTATAGTTATTCGAATCTTTAATCTTCTTCCTCGTCTTCTTCTTATTTCAACCAATATTTTGGCTCTCAATAACTTCAGCATACTTTCAGCTACAGAAACCATTCAAATATCAAACTATTCAGCCTTTTCAGCACATGATGGGAAACTTTCAACTTTTTCAAAATATGTTATACTTTTTGAAATATTCCATGTAATGTTCCAGTGCGACACATGTTGCGAGACGCGAGGCGACGCAACAGTCGGGGTCCGTCTGGGTCAGTTCTTTGTTGTCAGATTGGTGTGTCCGGGCCTTTACATTACATTGCATTTAGCTGAGGCTTTTATCCAAAGCGACTTACAATAAGTGCGTTCGACCAACAAAATACAAACTTGAAGAAAACAGAATCATATAAGCACATCAGGCTTCATAGAGCAAAAACATTTCAAGTGCTACTCAACTGGCTTTAGATAAGCCAGCCCTTTATTAGTATATAAGTGCTTTGTTAATAGTTCTATCGCTCGAAGTAGAGTCGAAAGAGATGAGTTTTCAGTCTGCGCCGGAAGGTGTGTAAGCTATCTGCTGTCCTGATGTCAATGGGGAGCTCATTCCACCATTTTGGAGCCAGGATAGCAAACCCACGTGTTTTTGCTGATGGGAACTTGGGTCCCCTTCGCAGCGAGGGTGCAGCGAGCCGTTTGGTTGATGCAGAGCGGAGTGCACGTGCTGGGGTGTACGGTTTAACCATGTCCTGGATGTAGGAAGGGCCAGATCCATTCGCAGCACGGTACGCAAGTACCATTGTCTTGAAGTGGATTCTAGCAGTTATCGGAAGCCAGTGAAGGCAGCGGAGGAGCGGCGTGGTGTGGGAGAATTTAGGAAGGTTGAAGACCAGACGAGCCGCTGCATTCTGGATGAGCTGCAGAGGTCGGATGGCACATGCAGGTAGACCAGCCAGGAGGGAGTTGCAGTACTCTAGGCGTGAGATGACGAGAGCCTGGACCAGAACCTGCGTCGCTTTCTGGGTCAGCTGGGGATGCATCCTCCTGATGTTGTAAAGCGTGTATCTGCAGCAGCGGGTTGTAGCAGCTATGTTTGCAGTGAAGGACAGGTTGTTATCTAGGGTCACACCCAGATTCCTTGCAGTCTGAGTCGGGGAAACAACAGAGGTGCCAATGTTGATTGTTAGGTCAAGAGTGGGACAATCTTTTCCCGGAAGGAAAAGCAGTTCAGTCTTGTCAAGGTTGAGCTTGAGGTGATGATCAGACATCCACTGAGAGATGTCAGCTAGACAAGCAGAGATGCGTGCGACGACCTGGGTCTCTGAGCGGGGAAAGGACAGAATTAATTGGGTGTCATCAGCGTAGCAGTGGTATGAAAAACCATGCGGGCTAATGACTGATCCGAGCGAGTTTGTGTACAAGGAGAAGAGGAGGGGACCAAGAACAGAGCCCTGAGGGACCCCTGTAGTTAATTGACAAGGGTCTGACTCGGACCCTCTCCAAGTAACCCTGTAGGTACGGTCTTTGAGGTATGAGGTGAGGAGGGAAAGTGCAGAGCCTGAAACTCCAAGTGCTTGGAGAGTGCGAAGGAGGATCTGATGATTCACCGTGTCGAATGCAGCAGACAGGTCCAAAAGGATGATGACAGAGGAGAGGGAGGCTGCTTTAGCAGTGTGCAGTTCCTCAGTGACAGCAAGGAGGGCAGTTTCTGTGGAGTGACCTGCCTTGAAACCAGACTGGTGCGGATCCAGAAGGTTGTTCTGATGGAGATAGCAGGAGAGTTGTTTAAAGACAGCGCGTTCAAGTGTTTTAGACAGGAACGGGAGGAGAGAGACGGGCCTGTAGTTTATAACATCTGACGGGTTGAGAGTGGGTTTCTTTGGGAGAGGGTTTACTCTTGCCTCCTTGAGACTGTTTGGAAAGTGACCAGAAGTTAGAGAAGTGTTGATGAAATGGGTGAGAAACGGTAGAATATCAGGAGCGATAATCTGAAGGAGGTTTGAAGGGATAGGGTCCAGAGGACAGGTGGTAGGGCGGGCAGAGGTAATGAGGGTAAGAACCTCACTTGGAGAGAGAGGGGAAAAGGAGGTCAGTGTATGGGTGAAAGGAGGGTCTGGTGACCCAGCGGTGAGTCCGAAAAAGAAGAGCGAATATCATCAACCTTTTTTTCAAAGTGGTTAACAAAGTCGCTTGACAGAAGGGAGGAGGGGGACGGGGCTTTGGGAGGGTCCAGGAGGGAGGAGAAGATGGAAAATAGTTTTTTGGGATTGGAATAGGAAGATTGGATCTTATCTTGAAAGAAAGTGCTTTTTGCCTGAGAGATCGAAGCAGAGAAAGAGGAGAGGAGAGCCTGATAGGTTAGGAGGTCGTCACGGTGTTTGGATTTCCACCATTTCCGCTCTTCTGCCCGAAGGACGGTTCTATTAGCACGCAGTGCATCATTTAGCCAGGGAGCAGGAGGGGACTGACGAGCCTGCCAAGATGTGAGAGGACAGAGAGAGTCCAGAGAGGATGAGAGAGTAGAGAGGAGAGTTTCTGCAGCAGAGTTTGGAGGCAGGAATTGGAACGAGTCAGAGGAAGGGAGGGCTGAGAGCACCGACGAGGCAAAGGTAGAGGGGGAGAGGGAACGAAGGTTACGGCGGACAAGTGCAGGATGAGAAGAGATTAGTTTGTTATGTTTGGAAAGGGGTAGAGAGAATGAAATGAAGAAGTGATCAGATGTGTGGAGCGGGTTTACAGAGAGGTTAGAAGTAGTGCAGTTCCTTGAGAATATGAGATCAAGGACATTGCCAGCTTTATGAGTTGGTGGGGACGGAGACAGTGAGAAAGCAAAGGCGGTTAACAGAGATGTTAGTTCGTCTATCTTCCAGGTCTGGAGGTTGAAGTCTCCGAGAAGTACAGCGGGAGGACCAGTTTCAGGGATGTGTGAGAGGAGATGATCTAATTCCTCCAATAAGTCCCCCAAGGCGCCTGGTGGACGGTAGAGAACAACAATTGTTAATTGTATAGGATGGGTTACTGTGACGGCATGGAATTCAAAGGTGGAAGGAGTGAAGTTAGGTAGCTTGAAGAGGGAAAAGCTCCATTTGGGAGAGAGCAGGAGACCAGTGCCACCTCCTCTGCCAGTGGGTCGAGGTGTATGGAGAAGGAATATGCTGTGGAGAGAGCTGCTGGGGTGGATGTGTTGGATGGAGTAATCCACGTCTCAGTGAGAGCAAGGAAATCCAGAGACTGCAGGGAAGCATAGCCAGAGATGAAGTCAGCCTTAGGAACAGCTGACTGGCAGTTCCACAGGCCGCCTGAAACTAGATGTTGGATCTCAGTGGAGCATGTGGGATAGACGAGAGCAGGCCGGTTATATCGATTACGAGATACACGGGGCCAGTGATAGTTGCGAGAAGACACATAAACAGGAATGGAGAAAATACACATGATTATAGCATGAGGGGCTAAACAACCAAATAAAACACCAGCGATACTTAGCTCAATCAAAGTAGGATTTGCCTCCTCTTTGCCACCCTCGTGACTCCCGCAAGACTCTATTATCTTTGTCAGTCTTTGACTCCCGCAGGACTCTATTGTCTTTGTCAGTCTTTGACTCCCGCAGGACTCTATTGTCTTTGTCAGTCTTCGTCTGTCTGACGCTCCAGGAAAGTGCTACCTAAAATGGACACCTGATTGCTGAGTTCTCACAGCTGTGGGGCCATGTCCCTTTAATTAGTTAACTCTCTGCAGCTGGTGGCCCTCAAAAGGAAATCTAGACTGGCTTCCTCCTGACTTGTTATTGTCTTTTAAGTGGCCCAATGGTTTTACAATTACATTAAACCCTAAGTTATAAAGTTATGAGTTTAACCCTTAATACAGTTACACTTACTCAATAAAGCTCTTAGTATTCTACAAATGTTAAAATCAAAGTTAACCCTAGCAGTCAGTTAGTTCAGTTTTAAGGTTTCAGTCAAATTACTTGTCCCAAGTTTCTGCCTGACAGATACTGTAGCGGTTTTGAGATTTAAAATCACAATTTCAGTCAGATCAACTACAGAGCATTGATACAGTACACACACTGAAACAGAGAAGTCTAAAAACAGAATGTTACTCACACAATTCTAGAAGTCTCCAGTTGCTTTCCTGTCAAAATCGAGTTGCACACTTTAGAGTGTGTGATGTCACAGCTAGAGTGGAGGAGAGCTTGAAATTCGCCTTAAATTATTTTTTAAAACTGCCATAATTCCCAAACCCTACACTCCTTGAACATTATTTTTTGTGAAAAACGTAGGAAGACCTCTCCTACGTTGAAAAATAAATGAAAATTAAGAAAATAAATTAAACAAAATGCCTCCTGAGGGCATGAAGTGACAACAACGTTCAACATGTCTCCATTAAGGCCCATTGTAAATCAAGCCTGATCTGTCCTCAGAGCAGCAGCTGCACACCTTTAGAGTAAATCTGCCATAAAGGCCACATTATGGACCCAAAAGTACACAAAAAGCAGATTCCGAAGTTCCTCAGGGTCCTGACATCCTCCACGCGTTGACATTTTACGAAAGCAGCTACCGTTTTTAAACTATAGTTAGAAATGTAAGAGGTTTATTTCTCATTCAGAACAATGGAAAGGCTCTCCTATCACAGCACATCTCCATGGAAACCTTTGATCTCTGGGCTCACGTACACAGGTGTTTGATAACGTCGTCACCATGGTAACCTTTTATTTCTGGGCTCACACACAGGTGTTATGATTAGGTGCTCAGCACAGAAACAAACACTGACAAACAGTCTGGAGTTTAAAGACTGTCTCAGCCTATTATTTTCTGTCTGATGGAGACCTCATACTGACTTCAACATGTTCCACATATTTTATACATTATTGGTGACGTATGGTTTTAGTTCAAAAGTTTGCAGTTAAAATATTCTGCTGCTTTTCAAAGCGTTTTTACTTTATTTTCTCTTCTTAATACACATTCATTCACTACTACTTATATTTAATATTTAACTCCTTCAGCCTACTTTCAGCTACAGAAACCATTCAACTATTACATTATTCAGCTATTTCAGGACATTGAGGCTATACATGTTGTTTTTTATACCTTTTAAAACATTTTCTTTAAAATATTAAGCTTCTTCACTATTTTTCCTACTCTTCCAGTTTAACATTTCACTTTCAAGTTTTCAACAAAGTCATTGCAATGCATTTGAGCTGTAATCATTTTGATTCAAATCATTTCACTTTTCTGCCTTTCTCCACTAAGTTCAGCAACATACTTACTTGACTTTTGTAGCTAAAAGCAGCTGCTGAGAGCATTCAACTAATAACATATTCAGCTTTTTCTGCATTTTCAGCTAAATTCAGCCACAAATGTTCACAGTTTACAGCATTCGCACGCATTTTCTGCAGGAAATGCATTTTCTAGTTTCTTCTTAGTTTGCATATTAGCAGATAATTTTTCAGATTTTTTGTGAGTTCACAAATCTGTTTTTGCCTTGACTACACATTCACACACAGATTATTTATCTGTTCACACGAATAATATTAAGACAAATCAGCCTCCATAAAGAAACCTTTCCAATGTAGTGCTCTCTCACTTTTCGTCCTGCCCAACACAGGTGCAGCTAATAACCTTAATTGGGCGTCGAGGTGTTGTGCATGCTGGCTCTTTACTGGGACAGTTAAACTGAGCGCTCGTCAAAGTCATTAGTTGCATCTGGTCTTATCCGGCTAAGTCAAACGCCTGCTGGGATAAAGGTCTATACGAGTGAATTTCAGCTAATATATAGAGTTGATCTGTCAGACAGGATTTCTATTTATTTTCTTCATAAAGACAAAGTGAGTTGAATGGGCATTACAATTTCCTCTCATTAGTATATTAAAATAGCATCTGTTTAAAAAAAGGGAATTTTAAATAGGAAGTCAAAATTACAAGAACATTTAGATAAAAAAAAGTTCACCAAGGACCACTGCGCAACAAAACATCCAAGGTACTTCTTCACTGCAGACATGTTGACTTCTTCTGGCGCCTCAACTTCTCATTATGGAATAAAGGTAAGATGCTTGAATCATTAAACCTTTGAACTAATATGTGATTTACTTTAATGGTGGTAGCTTTGCTTGAGCAATTGTCACTAAAAGCTGTAGTATTTAGAACCAGTGAAATTGTCAAAATAATGTTTGAGTCGAGACATTTTAGCCATAAATCTTTCCTGTGGTTTAGTGACCCAGAACCGAAGTAAAGAAGTGATCATGTATCCTCAAATTCAAACCAGCAGCTTCACCCATTTTAAAGTCCAGCAAGTATCTCCATTGCCACATTTATTGTATTATTAACAATTTTACTTAAAAAATATGGTTAAACACAGCAACACACGTAAACTATCGGCCATTTCCACACAGGAAGATTATCGGATAGCATTGTTATTTTGACCGGCTTCAACCTTTTGGTAGAATTGTGCGGGTACTAGCCCTCCTGTTTTAAAATATATATATATATATATATATAATATATCTGACGACTGTCAACTCAGATAGTTTGACCCAGTAGAAGTAAAACGCTGCCCCTTATTCCTGTGCAGGCTAGTACCAGACATTACACATTAGCCCTCGGATAAAACAAATGTCAGTGTAAAAATCATGCACAAAGCCTCCCAAGCAACTCACCTGAGTGTAAACTAGGGGAACGCTGATCATGTCGTAGTGAAACAGCATGCTGCACTTCCCTCTGAACCCATTCAGCTCCTGTTCACACACAAACACAGAGACATGCTGAGGTCACTTTACAGCCTTTATTCAGCTCTTCTGTCTGTGTGGATCTCAAACTGAATCCCAGTCAAAACACAAGGACTGTATCTCCTCGTCATCAGTGTGTGTGGGTGTGATTCTGCACCTCCAGCAGTAGTGTGAGTGTGTGATCGTCTTTGATCCGGCCCTCGCAGCGGGCCACTGCTGCCAGGTTGGTGAACCACACGCAGGGGATCCAGAATTTGTTGTAAGGAGAGTGGAGGCTCTCGAACTTCTTCCGTTCCTCTCTTGACATGAATCCTGAACAAAAGGAAGAGAAAAACCCCCAGATTGATTGTATCCTAATTAAATAATGTGGCTAACAGAGAGGGACGAGTGAGGAATTAATAGTCAGTATGAACATTTCTTGGAGTCTGATTTCCAAATATGTATTGATGTAGTGAGTAAATGTTAAACTTTATAGCGCTTTTACATTTACAAGACAGCATTCACACACATTCATACTGAAGCAGAGGCTACAAAGTGCCAGCTGCTCAGGGAGACTGATGTTCTCACGCACACACACACATACACACCATGACATGGGGCAATTAGGGTTAACTAAGGGCACAGCAACATGTTAAATGCTGAGGATAGAAACCCCCACCTTTTGTATTGGAGGAAAACAAGCGAACTCCTGAGCCACTGAAGCTCCAACAACTAGAACAAAATATGTATCAGGAAAACACATTAAAGCTATCTCAGCTAAAATATACTTTTAGTGTTCAAGTTGAACTACAGTTTATTTAGAAAACAGTGAGAAGACGATTGCTTCACCAGTGTTACTGACGTATGATAGATAAGCTTTTTTATCACCACTGAATTCCAAGATGTGCTTGTCCTTGTGATTTCTCCTGCCCACTGGTGTAGAAAATGTACAGTAGAGGAAACAACACACACTGATGACACACTGATGCTACAGCGTGAGAAAAGATTATCACACGTGTAAACTCTGTGCAGATACTAACTGATTATAGAGAAGTGTACTGGCTAAAATTGTGCATTGATCGCTACGCTGCTATGGACAGTCATTGCACTACTTTAGATATTTTTACTATTGTAATATATTCATCCGTTTTGAAGTGACTGTTATTTGTTATTTTGTATATATTTGTGTGCCTTTTTATTTATGCCTCTTAATATGTGTATATGCGTCTGATTATGTATACAGTGTGTGGGTGTACAGATGTATACATATATGTATATCTTTTTTTATATATTTTTTATTCTTACTCCTTTGGATTGTAAGAAACAGCATTTTGATCTCCCTGTCTGTATCACACAAACAGAAGATTGACAATAAAGTTGAGTTTGACTAATTATTAAGTTGTATCCATTTAAAATGTCTTTGGATAGTTGTATGATATGGACCCCAGCACCTCCACCCCCCGGTCCTGGCAGCTACTCACCAGCCTCCACCACATGGTCCATGGTGGGGAACCGTTTGAACACGGCGGTGCTGACGGAGCGGAGGATGAGCAGGGCCGACAGACTGGCGTAACGCATCATGGTGCGTCTCAGCAGGCGGCCCCGCTCGTCGCTGCCCTGGAGCCCCCCCGACAGGACGCACATGAGCCGGTCAGGGAGCGGGATGCTGGTGTACTGGCTCCACCAGCGGTTCACCACCAGGGTCACATAGAAACCTGCACACAGTGATGCAGAAGAGACACAGGGGGTTATTCTGGATTATTCTAGAAATACTTTAAGAGGACAGTTCTCCAGTGGCCTCAGGGGCCCCAAGCAATATATAAGAAATGTGTGCTTGACTGTTACATCATTTCTGCTATGGAGCACAACCGATACATGATACTGTCAGTACTGTCTGATAATAGTCTTTCTCATTGTATACTTTATACTAGGGCTGCAAATAAAGATACTTTCCACAATTTAGTAATCAGCCAATTATTTTCTAGACTAATTCAGTACTGATTCATTGTTGGTCTACAAAATGTCAATACTAGTCAACATGTACATCCCTCTCAAAGTCCAAGGTGAGGTCTATCAATGTCTTATTTTGATTTTCACTTTGATATGATAAAATATTCCCATTCAGATTATTGCCCATTATGTGGAAATGTGTCTTTCCTACCAGCAAATACAAAGACACTCAGTTTACACACAACATACAGTTCACACACAATACACAATAACATTTGTGTATCTATAGTCTAAAAGTGACCCATTTGCAGTCATAGTTAAAGTGCTGAGTGCATTGTTGTTCCACTGGCTTGTAGTCCAATACATGTATTTCATGAAAAGTCACTTAATACTATTTGAATAGCTTAATACTAATGAGAAAAATAGTTCTGAATGGTTTTTCTGTATTTTATTTTCTGACAAATCAATCAGTCAACCACTCAATAAAGCTCTACTGTATGTAAGCCTTATGAAGTATTTTAGTATATATTAAAAAATAAAAGCTTAAAGTACAGAGCAGAAAATCCACTTTCAATTCTGTAAAAGTGGTGGTAGAAATGTTGCAAAGGATATTTTAATAGATTTTCTTTGCTCTACTAGTTAAAGTTTTTCAACTATTCACAATCCTTAAAGCTCAAAATGAGTCAGGTAATCAATATTTTAATTATTTGGCTGTATTTATACCTCCATTGCAATAACTCAACATATATTCTGAGGTCTACAGCTGAAAGTCCTTAACATAGAAACTAAAAAAAAGTTGTTGTGTACATTCCTGTTTTATTTAGCAAAAATACTTCTGAGTCAAACATCAAAGATGCGGACATCACACAGAACAAATGTCTGGGATATACAGATAAATACTGTCCCATCTATTGTTATCCCAAAGTGGATAAGAACATGACAAGTACTCACCCAGAACAAAGGACATGGGGATGAGGCTGGCGTAGTGGTTGCAATAAATTGCCAGCTTCTCAAAGTACCTCTTCTGATCATCATACAGGACAAATCTAAAAGAGTAACCGTGATACAAAGTCATTTTAAATCAAAGCAGTGATGTTCCCTTAAGTTGTTCTCGCTCTGTCTCACCTGTATGTGATGCTGATGGCGGTGTACATGGCAAAGAAAGCCAGGAACTCTTTATACAACATCTTGTAGATGCTGCCCTTCCAGGCCAGCAGCAGCTTGGAGAAGCCACAGAAACGGGCATTTGCAACTCTGGCTGTGTATGTGACAGTCATTGGTGGCAACAAATGTCAAGGTCTTCAATGAAAGAGCTGCATGGAAGAAAACACTCCTGCTATGAGGCCAAGGACAGATCAAACCTAAACAACTCTCTTAGTCATTTCACAGATGAAGTGAATTCCAATAGAAGGATACAAAATTCACTTATTCCTATTTCGTCTTGGAAGAATATCTCCTTACCTTGTGAAGTGTTATTCTTGAGGAATGTGTCCAATTGCTCAGCGCATCTCTGTGCGTAATTGGCACCGGTGGAGAAGTGAATTCACATTTTCACTTAACGGTATAGTGTTCTCTGCGCTCGCCAGTGGAGTTTTTTTCCCCGAAGAGCTCATAACCCTGATGTCCCCTGGCGTCAGCTCGGTTAACTCGCGGCTCGGTCGGCTGCATGGCAGTAATCCTCGGAGCCTCCTCGGTGCGTCCAGTGGTCAGTGCGCCCCGGGGTAAATCCCCAAAACCAGGAGGAGGAGGAGCTCGTTAGCGTGGCCCCCGACCGGGACGCGCGGCTCGGTGATGGACCGCAAGCGACAGGCCGCAGCGCCGGGGCCACGGAGCGGACAGCACCAGGGAGTTATGAAACAGCAGCCAGTGGACCGTATAACTGTCGTGCGAAGTGATATGAAAACAACAAGCAATTTCAATGGCTACAGGTTTATCATTATGGTTGAATAACCAGAAAAAGTGTATACATTTCTTACACTAAACAAGTTGTGTAAAAAAAGAAAAGTCTTCCTCCCTTTAAACTTCTTTGTTTTCATGCTGGGAAAATAATCCATGTGGGGTTTAATAATCCCACTTGTTAGCAATCCAATTTCCCACCAGGACATGTTTTTCAAAAGGAAATAATTTATTATGACTCCTAATGACTTTGGGTGTTTTGAACAGAGCTGTGTCTGTGGTGCTCATTGCCTTATGTGTGTGATATATTGGATTATATTGTTTGTTTATTTATGTTATTTGGATTTATTTTATGTAAGGTGACTTTGAATCCCTCAGGCTCCATTCAAATATGTATAGTTAATGTTTATAAGGGATATGTTGTATCCTTCACATAAAAGTAAATCTCTCCTGAATTGCTGTGTTAAAGGTTAACTGAGGCGTCATGCTGCCATTAAATAAGCACTGTGCAGGTCTAAATGAACGACAAAGGGCTCTCGTCTGATGCAAGTTAGTTTTAATTAACACTCGCAGTATAATTTGAAGAAAAAAATCTTTAGAAAACAGATTGACTCAAAAGCATTCAGTGACAGAAAGAGGGCCATTTCCTTTAGGAACTTGTTGGAAGTATCGGGCGAGCCAATCACAGTCCAGGAGCCAATCACAGGGCAGAGATGCTTTGATTCTTCTTAAACTACTCGCCATTCATCTGTTCCACAACTGATCAAGCAACATTCAATATATTTATATTAACAATGCACTAATAAGGCTACTAATGTAATAGTGTTCCCATAAAGTCCGTGGACACAAAATGTTTGATGAGCATTGTATGGGGTGATGCTGTGACACTCTTTTTAGCTTCCAGTCGAATAAACATCAGGTCTTTTCACATTTAGAATTTAAATCTCATAAGATCTGGTGCTGCTCCAACAACAGAGGCCTCAAATATGTAACATTAAGAGTGTCCAGTTCAAACAATGACATGGCCATATATGGATACTGATCTCCAAACTTGACTTGATTCAAAATCTCATCGACATTGGGTTACTGCAAGGTCTAATGATTTGACACATGGTAAAATAAACACCTCGGATTGCTCTGCCTTTCTTTATTACAATAACTTCTTTTTTTAAGGAGATAGCATATTTTTTCATTATAGAGTGGTGCAGAAATTAGTCCTAAATCCCAGAAATTAGTTTGCATATTAGAATTACCGGTTCCCTCGTCTCTAAGTCAAGTGGGTTAGATGTCTACATCGGTTGGAGGTCTGTGGTTAATACCATCCGAAGAAATGTTTACTTTTTTTAAAGACGTTAAATACGTCAGTAGAAACCCCACTCGTGGATGTTTAAATCTATTTGTCATGAAAACATGACGGTGACTACATAAGACTACTAAATGTCATCACGTTGAACATTAGCCCCCCTTAGCTTAGCATTTGTGAGGGGAAATCATGTGAACTAAATGCAGTTCATTCATAGCCACATTAGCTTTTTACTTCTGCTGATTGCACTTCTAAAACCATAAAGCAGTGTTAATATGGGGTGATTATCCTGCTTAACAAAACGTGTTAAGTACCAAAACATTTTGTGTTTGTCAAAGCTCTCATTTCTAGAATATTCCGAAAAAGAAAATAGAAAAATTCCTTTGCTTTTTGTCTAGGGACCACTTTTAATCATTACTTCTGGGTTGTCCTAAACAAAGACGTCATCACTGAACCACTCTACTGTCCTACACATCCTGAATCTTTAGATATTTTGATGTAAATTCCAGAACAATTTGCATGAAATTTGAGTCAAAAGTCAAACTGGGGAACACACACAGCCACCGAAACCACACAGAATAAACAAGGCATAAACATTGAGCGCCTGAAAGCTGTTTTATCCTGGAACAAAGGGCACCGTCACTGGGAACACTCGAGGTGATGGAGGAGGAAGGGACGTTTTAGAGAGAAAGTTAAATGCTTTAAGTAAGAATGCCACAAGGCAGATATGAAGGAAGGAGAAGTGAGAGGTAAGGCAGCACCAAGCTGGGCTGTCTTACCTCTCCAACAATATTTCAGGTTATGTACGTGTGTGTTTGTGATTTTGTGAGCGCGAGTGTCCTGCTGTAGCAGTGATTTGCTTTTGGTTGACAGACTTTGAGGGGATCAATTTGTGGCTGTTGCTGCAGGGTTTGAGGCTGGATAGGTGTGGCCTGTAAAGGTGTGGTCTGGGGGGGGGAGGGGCAGAGAGGAGGTCCTGCAGAGAAGGAGATCACTTGTTCGGGGGTTTGTAGGGATCCAGAAGTTGCTGAGAGAACGTGTTGACCTTCTCGGCTCCTCTGACTTCGTGGGGCAGCAGCGGTAACTTGATTATGTGGAAATCTTCGTAAAGATCCTCCATCTGTAGGGGGGGGGGGGGGGGGGGGGGGGGGGGGGGGGGAACACCGTTAACAAACCTTTAAGCCGTAGAGTCACAACCCCTAAAATCATTCTGCTTACACGTACCTGGTCTAAATACTTGGACTGTATTTTATGGCGGGCTTCACACATTTTGCACGGCCTCTCTGCTTCGGGGAAAACAAGTTGGTTGACGATGATGTTGTGCGTGTCGATGCGGCACTTGGCCAGCTCCTGGATCAGCCGCTCCGTCTCATACAGGGAGAGGAATTCAGCGATACACACACAGATGAAGGTGGTCTGTTCCTGATGGATGTGGGGAAGAAAAAAAGGGTGACGAAACATACACAGAATGCTTAAACTAACCCTAGTTCTATTTTGTTTTTCAAAAGTAGGATGTTTGTATAACGCCTAAAGCAGACAACAAAAACAGACACCACTTCTGGTTCTCTTGTCTAACTGTTTTCTGTTAGATGCCTGGAATAGAGTGGTGCAGGAACGAGTCCTAAAACCCGGAAGTGAGTTAGCATTTTCCCACTACATGTTCCCTCGTCTCAGAGTCAATGGGATTTCTCCATAGGGTTTTGGAAAATAGCTGGAAATAAGGTCTGTGTTTGACACAAATTGAAGAGACGGATCACGTTTTGTTCTACGACATTAAATACATCAGCAGTGGTGACTGGTGACTTTTGAAGAGTTTACGTATCTGAAAAATGATGGTTAACAAGTGGCTGAATAGGACTGCAGAAATTGTGGAGGACGTTGTACGTCATTACACCGAACACGTAAACATGTTGCCCCTGTTCTGCTTGAAAGCCAGTACCTGCCTCTTGCAAACTGTTAAAACAAACGCTTCAAATTGTACAATTTGTATCTGTATTTTTGAATATCGATCTTAAGTTGGCGTGACGTTGAAGTCGTGCGACCCTGCTGTACTCGGCTGTAGTTCGTTTATAGCATAACGTTAGCCTTTTGCTTCTGCCGATTAGATTTATGATGCGAAAATGATAAAAGTAGGATAGACATGTGGAGATTATCCGGCTGAACAAAAGGTGCATTTATCAAAATCCTATGGAGAAATCCCATTGCTTTTTTGTCGAGGGAACCCATGCGCAGCTTACTTCCGGGTCGGCCTACAGAAATACGTCATCCCTGCACCACTCTATAGGAACACACCAGTTCCACTTTATGTTTTATGACGGTGACTAAATGAGACTACTAAACGTCATCACACGCATTACCAGCCACCTTTAGCTTAGGTGTGGTGGTGTCGTAGCGTTAGCTTTTTACTTCTGGCAATTCCATTTTCGTGAAAATTATAAAACTGGTTTTACTGGTGGTGATTATTCTGCTCAACAAAATGTGTAAGTACCATGTGTGTGCCAAAGATCTTATTTTAGGAGTTTTTCAAAATCCAATAAAATAAATTCCCATTGGCTTTTTGTCCACGGCCCCTAAGAATGCTAACTTCCGGGTCAGTCAATAAAAAACATACAGCTCTGTTAAAAATTAAGAGACCACAGCAGAATGATCAGTTTCTCTGGCTTTACTATTTATAAGTATGTGTTCGAGTTAAATTAACATGTTTTTATTCTATAAACTATTCACAACATTTCTCTGTGTTGGAATTCAATGGCTGCTATACATGTGGAGATTGAAGAAAAATAAGGGGTGGTCTCCTAAGTTTTTCCAGAGCTGTGAATCAATACTGCACCACTCTATTGGGTTCAGTAGGATTAGAGTTTAGTTTCTTTTTTAATAGTATATCGAAGTTTTAATCTGTGTTGTTAATACTCCTCTCCTGAATATACTGAGCCACAGGCAGCATCATCACAGCACACATACATGCACATTCACGCTGGATGCAAACAGCGCAGAGGTCTGTATGTCCAAAGAAACAGAGCGCCAGCAAAGAGAAATGACAGTGTTAAGCTAAATCGAAAATGCCTAATTTGTCTGGCAATACTGGCAGTTTTAAAAGCCTGTATTGCAATAAGTCAAACAAAACCGAAGCATAGCCACATTAACTCATATTATGATGTATGTAAAATAGTGGTGTCTTGTAATCCCGTGTGAGATGGGACAAATGTTTGGCATGACATAGAAAAGTAACATATAGGGATGTGCTTATGTTAAAACAGCAAGACACTTACAGGGTCTTTGAACTGCTCACTGACTGAGCGGATGACGGGCAGGGTCTCCTCCAGCTTAGAGGCCAGCTGATCAGCGTTCATGTCACCCAGACCGAGCATGGTACACATCTACAACACAGAGAGAGAAACAGAGAAGATGTATATCAATGGGATAGCTCATATTTCATGTATATAACGAATAAACCATTGTGCATTACTTTAAATAGTTGCTCTAAGGTCCGGAAGGCAAAAACGTCACCATTTCAATACTGCCGTCAATGCAAATGAAAAGCGTTCTTAAATGTTACTTGATAAAAATGCAGTACTGTTCCCAACCTGATTATGTATATTTTGGAGACAGGTGGTGGTGGGATTAGCACAACGGAGAGGGCACATCTTTTTTTACCAGGGGAAAGACACAAGGTGGCCACAAAAAAGGCACAATAGTAAAAACTGTTGTCATTGTACCGTCTGATATTGGATAATTGGGATGAACTGCACATAAAGCGTCTTTGAGCACCTGTAAAAGCGCTAACAAATTAAATCTATTATTATTATTATTATAAACAGCGTTCTTGCTTGAACTTTGGATATTTTCCATTGCATAAGATTCGCTAGCTGGTGCCTCAGAGGCAGTTGCATTTAAACTTAAAAAAAAGAATCTGTAAATAACCACAACCAATGACGGACTGGATGTGCGTGTCCCTGCTCACCTGGGAGATGAAGGGGCTGATCTGGTTTTTTATCTGCATGAGGCGGCCCAGACCACGCTCCACAATGGTGGGGAAGTTGAGCAGCCGCAGTGTGTGACCGGTGGGTGCCGTGTCGAACACAACCACTGAGAAGTTCATTCCTTTCACTAACCTGGGAGACAGGAAGACAGTACGTGAGTTAGTTAAACATTTTCGACCATTTTTTATTAGCTCACTGTGAAAAGTTATTCCAGAAAACTACTAACAAAGAGAGAACAGGCTTTCCAGTGAGCATGTGACTTACCTCATGACCTCAGCATAACTCATGGCCTCGTCGATGCCGGGGAAGGCGCTCATGGCCTCCTGCATCATTTTCTTACCCATGCTGAGCATGTTGTCCTCCTCAAAGAACTCGTCTGGCAGCTCTGCAACACCCAGGCTCGGGTCAATCTCCTACACTCACACAAAACAAATAAATCAGCATATTACACACAGAGTGGCTGGGAAACTGCAAATTATTTCAGGGCCTCAGGGCAATTCTGTTTTTTTACACAATGAAGGTTTGTTTCCCAGATGTGGAATAAGCCTTGTGACACTATAAAAATAGTTAAGTCATGCTCTTGTTTTTATTTGACATAAACAGCCTAAATTGAGTTCTGATCCTTTATAGGCTACTTGTAAAACTTTTTTTGAGAGAGTTTTGAGATTATGCACAAAAAAAGAAAGAAGAACTATACATTTTCACATGTCATGGCAATTAAACCACAGGTGTAAATAATACAATTAATGATGGATAAATTGAATTTAGCTGCTTTAGACACTGGTGCTGTGTTTTCATGCCCTTGTTAATGTTATTAGTAACATCTGTGCCATTTGAGTGACTCCAATATGATGTTTTTAGCTTTAAAATGTATTATGCTGGCATCCTATTGTATAATTCAAACATTATGTTAGAGTTTTCTCACATTAACTAGCATCCGACAGGTGAATGTTCACGAACATGCATGTTGTTAAGCTTACAGACACAATTAAAATGTAATTAGTTACACCTGTGCTTTTTCGTCTTTGACAAATTAAACTGTGCTTTTGGAACAGGTGAAACCAATGTAAGCTTGTCTGTAGCGTGTTCCTGTGCCACGTACCATCGCAAAGAGGTTTTCATAGCCCATGACCTTAGTGGGCACCTTTGAAAACTTCTGGTCAAAAGCATCAGAGATGTTATGAGCAGGATCGGTGGAGATGATGAGGACACTTTCCCTGACAGCAGCGAGCTGGACCGCCAAGCTGCAGCTGAACAAACGACACAGGAGAGAGGTAAGTATGCTGTTTGTTCCCATATCTGAAAAGATGCAGTGAACATATAACAACAAAATATTGATATGTTTTGTATTCGAGGCCATAACCGAACACTTGCGTCTTGCATTTCTTTCTTTTTTTTTTAATGCTACACCATTTTTAAAGCCTCACCCAATGACTCCAATGTTAAAAATATGCGTAATGGTGGAGCTGTCATGACGGCTAACGCCAGATAGCCAGTGTAAGCATTACCTTCCATTAGCTAAATTGCACGCTAACCAAGGTAAACCGTTGAAAAAACACCAGGCAGAAGATATCAAACAGGCTGTATGTGTCATCTTACGAATCCAAAGGCAAACGATTTAAAGAAGTGATGAGTAAATGTCAGTTGGCTAATGTTAGCTGGTGACCGTGCTAGACAGCGTTTCACTAACGTCACCCGGCTAATTGACTAGCTTGGCCTAACTGTTAATATGTTACGGCAATGACATTGTATGATATTACATCTATATCCGTATATATATATTGTATCTCTTATTAAAGTGGTGTTGTTATAAAAAGCTTCTTAATCATTCACTAAGAGTTAGCCACGTCAAATGATGGTTGCGGCTAATCTCAGCTAGCTAGCTAGCTATGTTAGCATACGACGTAGCGTTAGTTAATATCAGCAGGCGGAATTTCCCTTCAACTGACCTGCATGTCGTTTTACCCACACCACCCTTTCCACCCACAAATATCCATTTTAAAGACTTCTGCTCGATGATGTTCTTCAGTGTCGGCTCCAACGGCTCGACATCAGGCGCATCTTCAAACTCGTCTTCCAATGAAGCTGCCATCTTGTCTGTGTACACTGTAGCGAACAGCGACATCGAGGGGGGATGTACCACACTGCTGCCTTCAAGGTTCCTCGGACAAACACCGTGTAACAAAAGGTTACAATTGGTAGCAACATTGAGACTGTGGAACATATTTTCTTCCAATGTGGACCTGTTCAACAAATGTGGCTTCCATAAGGGTTGGCATCAATTCACCCTATTAATTTAATATCAATAAAAGCTGCAGTATTTTTTTTAAAGAAATACAAATGTGGAGTTTCTGTTTCATGATTTGATCTGGTTAAGCCCCACTTCACTGGATGGAAGAACCATAGGGAAGAACGAACTAACATGTTTTGCTCTCTCTCTCTATCAAATTAGTAGCACTGTACTATTTTAGTTATTTGGGGTTTTTTTTTGTTCAAAGCTTCTGTTTTCCAAATGATGTCTCTCATATTTGATAATGTCAGAACCCTAATAATAAAAAATGTCATCCAAGTGATTCATCAGAATAAATGAATTGGTCTTTTTTTATTTTATTTATTAAAATCACTTGGGTAGTGAATCTTTAAAACATTTTGTCTCAACTTTTCTGTTCTAGAATATCTGGAACTGTTTGGATGACGCAAGTGGGAAACTATGGGACACAACTACAACTGGAATGTAATTCTACTAGTTTAATACTATTAATCTAATCTTTATCCACAACTGCTGTGCAGAAATCTGGGTTTTAAAAAAGATATATTGTTGTGATGCATATGAATATTTGAATGCTGTAAAACTCTACTCAACAGAAATGTGTTACAGCTTTTCATATCCTAAATAGCCTGGTATTAATTGTGTTTTTTTTTCTCTCGCCTAGGTGACGCTGGACCTTCACAGTAGTCAACAGAAGTTTGGAAGATTTCTGCGTTCAGCTCTAGATGTTCTCTCTTAGCGGAGGGATGTCTAAAATGCATGATCTGTTTGGTATTTTGAGCAAAACACATCACATTTATATATCTGACACCCATAAATATGCCTAAAAATAGCATGATAGGAGATATTTAATGACATCAGCAAGGTAAAGATATCTAAAACAGCTTTGTTCCAAATCAGACGTTGTTAAAGTGTTCATTAGAAGAAGCAAGAAGGATATGCATTTGTTTTATCCATATAAGCCAATGTTTCAACACTGTTGTTTACATGGACTCAATCCATAGAATAAAATGGTGTGTTTGTTCTTTGTCAGTTTGTGGAGGAAATCTTGAGCTACCTCAAGTCCTGCTTCTCCAGAGAAGCCACCTGTGTGTGGGTTGTGTGAGGGGCCGTGTGACGTAGTGGGTTGTCCGTAGGTGTTGGGCTCAGGGGGTCACAGGTTCAAACCCCACTGCAGTCAGCATGTCGTTGTGTCCCTGGGCAAGACACTTCACCCAACATTGTGTGTGTGTGTGTGTGTGTGTGTGTGTGTGTGTGTGTGTGTGTGTGTGTGTGTGTGTGTGTGTGTGTGTGTGTGTGTTGTGTGTGTGTGTGTGTGTGTGTGTGTTGTGTGTGTGTGTGTGTGTGTGTGTGTGTGTGTGTGATGTGTGTGTGTGTTGTGTGTGTGTGTGTGTGTGTGTGTGTGTGGTGTGTGTGTGTGTGTGTGTGTGTGTGTGTGTGTGTGTGTGTGTGTGTGTTGTGTGTGTGTGTGTGGTGTGTGTGTGTGTGTGTGTGTGTGTGTGGTGTGTGTGTGTGTGTGTGTGTGTGTGTGTGTGTGTGTGTGTGTGTGTGTGTGTGTGTGTGTGTGTGTGTGTGTGTGTGTGTGTGTGTGTGTGTGTGTGTGTGTGTGTGTGTGTGTGTGTGTGTGTGTGTGTGTGTGTGTTTCCCTGAGCGATGGTTCCATACATCTTTTATACACACAGACACTCACTACCAGCTGGATGTTATGTTGCCTGCACCTTTATTGACACAAAACTGTTAGAAATAAAGGATGATGTAATTGTGAATACATTTGCAAAACAACGAACAGGGTATACAATTTCCCAAAAATGCTGTATAAACCTAAGGGAAATAAACAAGCAAACACAAGACATTTACTAAAACTGACTAGATACTTCAAGTTTTACCCACTAACATGAAAGATATGTTGTGCTTCTTTAGAGGAATGCAAGTTATGCCTTTATCTCTTTTTAGACGTTTGTATGCACACCCTTCATTATATTATGTCTAAACACACTCTTCTTCCCTCCTTGTACGTCTCTGTCTCCGCCCAGGTGGTGGCGTGGCGTCTGCTCCAGAACCAGCTGCCCCTCAGTGTGGACCTGCAGTGGGCTCTGTCCTGCCTGTGCTTGGCCCTGCAGCAGCCCTGCGTCTGGAACAAACTCTCAGCCGCGGTGTACGCCACGCACACCTGCTCCCTCATCTACTCTCTACGCCTTACCATCATTGCAGGTGAGGGGGGTTTCAAGAAAATGTTCAAGCATTCCCTTGTAGCGGACTGACATTATGTGGGGTGCCAGTCAGATCGGGGACTGATCATTTTAATAGTCAGCGTCTGGTCAAACTATACAAATATACATGTGTAACAATACTCAGTACATATGACATGAACCCTTTAAAAAATGCTATATTTCACACAAACCTAGTTAATTTCCAGACTCATAAAGAAATCATAAACCACTTCTCTTTAAATTCAACACAACATTTATATAGAATTATATGATAATCAGTTAATCCCTAGTGTGTGCATTTTTAAATGAATTCAGGTTTCCCAACAGCAACAGTAAAGAGTCTAATCACGAACAAAAAACAATGATTCACATTTCTTTCAGTTCAACCCAAAGCATCTTCGTTCAGACATGTTTCTAAAATAGAGAAACAAACATCAGCATTAAGTAACATTAAATCTACAACTCTCTATAATTAAAAGTACAATTACTTATACACACACAAAAGGTTACCACACGATTATAAACGTACTTTTAAACTGATAAAAAGCTGGTAAACCTATAATTTAACTGTACAAATTACTAATAGAAAACTACTATATAAAAACCAAACACATTACTTGTTGTCAAGGATGCACACAAAATGAAACTTAAATGAGAGGCTGAACTGCCACCTAAGGGGGAACTACGACGCCAGATTAGTGGTTATAGCGAGGTATGTGGAGCGTAAAGGCAGAGTTTTCGGTTAAGGTGGCTAATACAAATCGGATTATGAAATCGATTAGTCTATAGGTATGTATCACTGACTAAATTAAATCAATACATTTAATTTCACTTTGATTTCATTTGGACAAAAATGAATTGTTTTTCCCCGTATCCTAACAATAGTTGCCCGTTACGTATAATTATTTTTATGTTCTAATTAAATCTTCTATATTTATTTCATACTGTCAGAAAATGGCAACACCTTAACCCTCATTTATCCTTTTAACGATACAATCTCACCTTTATTTTTTAAATAGAATTGTGTTTAAATGTTTTAGTAGCTCTGAGAGCTTTTGACCATATCACTTGGTCCTCATCGACAGATTGATTTTGCTTGTTCTCATGGGACCACACTTGTTCAAACCTCGAGGACTTTGATCCTCAATTATAAATCATGGTTTTGTTTGTTCACTTTATGTTTTGATGTTCAAACAATACAAAGAACAATGGTGTTACGTCCTCTTTTTCCCCGGTAAAAAAACATAAGCCTCAGACTAACTAAAATAATGGCACTAATATAAGAATCACATTTCTTAGTACGAAACAGCAATACAATACCTATAACAATATATATGTATACTTATAAATAGGACCAGAAGTATTTCTCTTCTATAAGTTCACCACACATCACACAAGCTTTTTTAAAAGTTGAAGTCAATATATTTACTGAGAAATAAACCAAAAACAATAGAATAAATGAAGACCAGGCAATTGGCTGGTTCAGTTGCTGTCACAGTGGACACAGGAGAAGAGAGCGTTTCTGATGCTCTTCAAGAATCTCCTGACTCTGCTTTTTCTTTCGCCGCTGGTCACTTTGATGACCTCTGAACAACCACAAAGAAGCAGGATGTTAGTGCGATCAAACAACTACAAACACATGAGACTGTGAGGGCTTTAGACATGTGACTTACCAGGCTCCATGTGAGCAGCTTCGTCCTCAAGCTTAAAATAAACTGTTTCTGGCTGAGCAGAGACTATTTGCTCGGGAAGAGTCACAGCCTTGAACGCAACACTTTGGACATTCTTCGATAGCTGCAGAGTGACACTTAGTTCAGAGTCTCTGCTATCAAAGATTACGTTTCCAATGCTTTGGAAGCTCTCAGTCAGTGAAGGCTGTGGTGTGAGACTCTGCTCAGCCTCTCTCATGTCAACAATCACGGTTTCAATACTTTGGCTGACTTCAGGGTCCTGCTCCACAGCGAAGAACGGATGCTCCAGGACTGTGAGGGGAATAATTCGTCCGCACTTGTCCGGCAACAGCATATTTTTCAAGAGGTCCACAAAGTTCAGCAACTCCTCTCTCTTGGCCATGTGTCTGTAAGGTATTACCTGCAATACATTGAAGGTAAAACATGTCTAAGTAATCCTTTTCAAACACGGCAATGCAGTCAATAAATACATTGTAGAAATACTTGTAATGACATTATCATCCAAAAAAAGACAACCTACCTCTACCAGGTCATCAAGAGACCTCAGGTGGAAACATTGGTTTCCTCTGAAGTGATGCCCGGTCTGTAATGCAAACTCCCATGGAGTCTAGAGAGACAAAGTTTTGGTTACATTGTTTATCCAGACAGACACACACACACACACACACACACACACACACACACACACACACACACACACACACACCTTAAGTGTCCAGATTTGCTGGTTGTAGCTCCCCTCAATGTTAAAATAGAAGCTGCTTTTTTGCCCACAGTTTAATAGAACATCTGGAGGCTGACCCACCAAGTCCACAATGAGTTTAAGTGTGTCATATTCGTGGTCCACGGGGAACAGAGCAAAGCCTGCTGCTATTTCTGCAATCACAGCACCGAGAGACCACATGTCAATCTGTTCACTGAAGTCCATGCCCAGGAGGACCTCTGGTGCCCTGAGAGGAGAGGAAAACTTCTTGTTAAACTCACTTTTGTTTATTTTCCTTTACAGAAACAGACTTCCGATTTTTGCATCAAAGCCGCAGCCTCTGTGCCACATGTTTTATTATTCCTACCTGTACCAAAGACTCTGAACAGCAGTCCCTGGAACGGCCTCGGACACGTGGCGAGCCAGGCCGAAGTCAATGAGTTTGACCTGAAGCGGATGCTGCAAGCGGTTCACCACCATAATATTCTCAGGCTTTATATCAGCGTGGATTATTTCCAGGGCCTCAAGGTGGAGCAGTGCTGTTGTCAGCTGAAGAAACACAAAGATTGAGATGCTTTAGGATCACAACAATGTACATTTTTAGGTCTGATTTCCCATTAAATCTCAAGTAATTAAATGATGCTCCTAAAGAAAGGAATGATTCCACATACTTGACGTAAAACTGGACGGATCTCAGCTATGGGCAGAGCGTTGTGTTTTCTCTGCAGCATGTACTCATAGAGACTCAGGTCCAGGAGCTCAAACTCCAAACAAGTTAACTTTTCATGGTAGAACGAGCCATACCATTTCACCAGACTGCATTTATCGGCATCGAGAGTCTGCAGCTTCTGGAGAATTTTAATCTGTGGAAGAAATACAAAATGTGATTATTGCTATTTGTTGTCACCTTCAATACGAGGTTGTAGGTTTCTCATTTCAAAATAACTCAACACGTAACTTCAGATTTTATAATAAGAGTTTGTAATCTACCTCTTCCATAGCTCGCTCAAAGAAAAGGGGTCTATCCTTGGATATTTTAACGGCCTTCTTTGTGTTGGTTACATTGTCCATACACATGGCCACCTTACCAAAGCTGCCCTCCCCGAGAAAGGCCTGCACCTCGTAGCCGGAGGACAGCAGGGTCCCCTCGTGGATCGGGAAATCGTCTGTGGAAGAGAGGAGAGAGGAGGAAATGGACACACAATTAAGTTACATTTCACAGTCCACAGAACAGCACAGCACATCACATTCAGTCAGTGCTGTCACTGATTTCTAATGCAAGATAAAATATCCTATTTGTTCTTTCTTTTGTGCCTGCACATATAAACGTGTTCGAGAAACAACGCCCTCAACATAGGTTTTGTCAATTCCAGATGTACAGATGTTCCAAATGTTTCTGAAGAAATGGAAAAAACTATCTTCATGTATTGGCTGAGAAATAAATAGGCAAAATACAAATACTGAAAAACATTGCTTATGAGAAATGTTAGGATATTTCTGTAATGGTTGAGAAATGAATTAGTCAAAGTATTAAACATTACTTAATTACATTATTAAACTTGTTTGAGCACACTGTTCCCCCTAAATAAAGTACACATTTTGTACTATCAGGAAATACAATTTTTACGGATATTATTGCAGCATTTTGTTTAAAAAAACTACAAAGATGTACCCAATTACAAGATTTAAGATCCAAAAAATGATATTTCTAACATGTTACATATTACTATCATTAGTTTATTTAAATGAGAAACATGTATTTGATCACTTAGTACTAAGCCTGGTCCTTATTTTGTAACCACAAACTAAAACAAAACTGTGTATTGAGCAAACAAACTTAAGTCTGTTTTTCAGGACTTTACTGACTGTTGTTTACTACTCTCTGCTTACCTGTGACTGACATGTCGCTTATTGTCTCTGATAGTTCTGAATCAAATCGTGCTTGTGTTGAAAAGGCGGCGAGGAGCAACAGATGTGTGTCTGTGCATCTCAATTTCAGGTGAATAACTGAACAGTTTCCCTGGAAGCCGGTCCATATGTTTCTAAAACCTTCCAGTGTTCCATTCTGGAGTTCCATCCACTCTGATGGAACGTTCCAAAATGGAAGGCATATGCAATTGAGGAAACATGTAAAATGTATTTTAAGAAAACATGGAAGTCACATAAATGTAAATCCTTGAATAGGCTGAGATGTTAAAAAGTGAAAAGAGAAGCTTTTTTACACACTCTGATCCACATGTGAATACAAATCACAGATCCATTCAGATGTGTTCGTCATGTTGTCAATATAACTGCTAGTTGAGTGCATGCATGAGCTTCAACCTGCAAACAGCAGCAGAAACCAGTCAGCTGCAGGCTGTTTATTAGAGCCACTCAGTAGGTCACTACTGCCATCTAGTGGTGATACAGAATATGCATGACCATATGATACAATTCTCATCTTATTTATTTAGAAAAGTTGGCTTTAATGAACTTTAATTTTTAGGAAGCTATATTTTAAGCACATGGCAGGTTATAAATTGTTTAACCTGCATCTTTTGAAAAATGTGGTTAAAATCCAGAAATACTGTAGCATTACTACAGTGTAAAAATACTCAGTTGCAAGTGGAAGTCCTACATTTAAAATTGTACTTTAGAAAAAGTATAAGCATTACAAAATACGTTAAGCACCAAAGGTCCTCATTATGCAAAATGACTATTTTAAGCACCAGATATTGTTTTATTATTTATTCAAATGATTGATCAATTCATGTGTTCATCACTTCAGTGTTGCTCTTGGTAAAGGTGGGGTTTATTTTACACTTATGGGTAGCTTAAACTAGAATATTATATTATGTGTGTTGATTTATATTTGTTATTAATAACCTAAATCTGCAAAGTTTCTAACTAAATATATAAAATAAATGTAGTGGAGTCAAAGGTACAATGTTGGCTAACAAACTAGTTGAGTAAAAGTACAAAGAGCACAATGTGAAAATACTCAATAAAAAATGGAGGTTGTTGTACTTTACTTAAGTAAAGTACTTGAAAGTAATACATTATGTTGTCGACAAGGGCTGTCAGATTTAAATACTTTAAATGTATGGTTAAAGATTTCACAGCCCTATTGTCTCCCACAAATATTTTTCATATCCTTAAACGTGCTGCTTGTTAGTGAATCTGATATGTCTACAGAACCCCATCAATCCTGTAACTCAATCGAGTGGTGCAGGAATGAGTCTTAAATCCAGGAATTAGTTTTATCATTTGAGCCTTCTAAGGCTCCTTTGTCTGGATGGCAACGTTTTTATGAAAACTTATTTTTACTTTTTCTTTAAAAACATAGCAACTTTGAATTAAAAAAAACATAATTCAGGAGTGTCTATGTTGTCCATTTATTTATTTGTATTTGCTTTAATACATGAAATGAAGTGCTGGAAAAAGAAACATTGACAGAAAAACAACTCAACAACTGATCAGGAGGAAGACATTTCTTAATAAATTCTGCTTAAATCCACTAAAACGCAATCAATGTCTTATTGAATGCTTTGGGAAATGACTTACAACTCAATGACATTTAAAATAAACGCATGCATATAGAAGCCCAGTTGGAATGACAATTACAAATCATTGGCCCTGAAGAGATAAACAATTTCATTTACATGAACATGTACATGCTGTGACCACAGGATAGGGCATTTGCCTCCATAAACACTTTTTCCTGGCCTGGCCTGTCCTCATCTCAGTGCCGCCGTCAGACCCGTCTGCTTCAAGCCTTCTCCACCCATCGTCTCCCTTTTTGTTTTCCAAGCAGTGCCAAGCCAGAATCTTAATGAGAGCGGTTTCAGCTCGCACACACTCCATCCCAGCCGGAAAGGAGCAACTTGGCTCTCCACCTGATTTTTGGCAGTCCGTCTGCCTCACCCAGCGTGGCCAGAAGGCCGGACCCAGATCCACCCATTGGTAAGTTAATCCACAAGTGGCAGAGCGCACCAACCAGTCTCTAACTGAGCTGGCAACATGCTTTGGGAGAGAACCAAGGTCCAGATCTGCGGCATTTTTCACCAGCTTCTGACGACTGTTTGCTGCAGCCTCGCTCAGCTCTGGAGAAGCACTCGGGTTAAACTTCTTCCTGGTAGTAGTGGGGAATTCTCCAGGAAGTGAGAAATTGCCCAAAAGCTGACTCCTAGATGCTTCAGATGGCTGCTCTATGGACATCCAAATCAGGTCAAAGGAGGATCCCAGAAGACGCAGGAGGCGAGAAGGCCGGAGATGTCTGGGTCTGGGCATGTGGTGGTAGTCTTCAGTGTTTGTCAGCAGGGTGTACGGGCGGATCGGCTGCGAGTAGGACTGCAGACGTTCTCTCAGATGAAGGAATGGTGAATCCCAAATTGTGTCCTCCTTGATTTGAACAACAGTCAAATTCTGGTTTTGTGTTGAAACGTTAGAAGCTCCATGTAGAAGGACAGAAATACAGCAGAAACAGACTCCACAGTCGAACAGCTCAGGCATGGTTATTAAGGTTCGGATGGGACAACAAACTGGTGAGAAATTGCTGCTAGTTCTCCTTACTACCCGTTTAGTTATGGGTGCTTCAGAGACTCTGTGTATCTTACACCAGAAATCCTTGAGCTTGTGAACAATAACATGGTGAAATCAGTGTATTATACCACAAACGGCAGACATAATATTGAGTATGGCCAAAGCACAGCTAAGCTCCTGCTTCTTCTTGTTCACAGCTCTGATGTTTTGGCTTGTTTCGAAGCAAACAAATCCGAGAAGCTATAGATTAGTCTAATGCTTTACCAGAATTGATTACCAGATGTCACAGATATTTATATGAGACAAAAAACTAGGTCCACATATTTCACAGCAAGAAAGAAGAGTAATCATTTGACCTTGATTTGGCAGAGCAAGACAAACAACAGCTCTCTCACGCAAAGACTGCACTTGATGAGTTATACGAAAAGCTTCAGGGTAAATTCCCTTCATGGAAGCTTAGATAATGACATATCACTCAGGATTTTTAAAGAAAGAGGACAGATGCTAAAGGTTAGTAGGACAATAACCCCATTTATTCTCATCTACGGAAAATCAGCTGTCAAAGGCACGTCATGGCGTAATATCAAATACATTCAACATATACTGTAAACACTTCTAATTTAAGTTTTCTTTCCATCAACATCATAATAATACAACTTATAAATACAGTTACATATAGTTACATTAAGACGCAAACAGCAGGCATGAACTAAGAAATATTGCTTCAGGTCCGAAATATGTGTGTGTGTGTGTGTGTGTGTGTGTGTGTGGTGTGTGTGTGTGTGTGTGTGTGTGTGTGTGTGTGTGTGTGTGTGTGTGTGTGTGTGTGTGTGTGTGTGTGTGTGTGTGTGTGTGTGTGTGTGTGCTCTTTTAAGAAAGCCTGACTTAACACAGCATGTGTGTGATTATATTTCAATAAAATGTTGCATTTAGGTTGACCTTCACATCCACCCGCCTCTTTTTTTGTCCTCGCACTCAAAGTGAGAAAAGCTGGTCTGATCTTTCCTGTTGCCGGGCAGATTGTGGAGGAGGTCTCGATGTGGAGGCGGGTACGCTGCGAATCGTCGGGGCGCTGTGGTCTGATTCCTTGGCTCGATCTTCCAGGAACTTATCAAACTCTGGTAAGGACAGTTAAGTTAAGGGTAAGTTTTTGCGCGTTCAATTAAGCAAGAATTATTATACATAATTTTTACACTAAAATTCAAAACATACCTTCACTGGACACCCCCTCGCTAACTGAAGAGTGTTCTTCCTGCATTACAAACACAATAACACATTAAGAGTAAAGATCATATATATATACCACATCACATTGACCCTCAATTACCATTATTCTCCTATATGTGTTCTTTAGTAAAGGCGAGAACAGATTAGAAATTTGATTTGGCTAAATTATATTTGTACCAGTGTTGCTCTAATTTCTGGTACATTAAAGCGTGTGCCTGTTGATCCTCATTGAAAAAAGCTAACTAAGTTCAGAGAATTTGGACAATAATTCCCAAATGAAAGCCTGAAGAAAGTTGAACAACGGAATCCAAATGTTAATATAATGAAAATAATTGTGTGAAAAATTCATAATTATATTATAATTTTTAAATATTTTGTTACACAACAGTAGAAGTGAATACATATATCTTAGTCCTGTTTGTGAACCAACCACTTGCAAATGGCTTTAAATGTGTTTTTTTCTTTTTTTTTAAATAATGTCTTGTTTTATTTATACATATGTAAAAACATGGGTTTGTATTTTTTTAAAGTACATGTATTGACACACTAGGTCAATTCCTAAAATGTTTTTTTAAAAGTACCAACGAGACAAAGAAAAAATCCCAAATAAAGCAGAAATATCTTCTGACATTCTTCTGACTATGACATGTTTCCTCTTACCATATCATTAGATCTGTCAACATCACTCTGCGCGGAGTTTTTTGCTGGCGCCACCTACAAGGAAAATAATCAAGAGAGGGATAAAGTGACACTGTTTTAGCCAAATCTACACAATTAGCAATATACTTTTATTTCAATTGAGATATTTTGTTCAGATCCATGTCTGTGTAGCGTGGTATATATACACACCCCTCCTGTGACCTGCAACCTGGTGTCCAGAGCTCCAGCGAGGCCCTCCACAGCCCCTGGGTCCTCATACCTGACACTGGGAAGAGGATGTGTTGTAATGCAGGCTGTCGAGTGGAGCAGTGATGATGTGTTTTTGTGGGCCAACCCGGAGGCTAGCATTTATGTGTTTGTACGGCGACCTTGAGAGCCTTGAAAGGCGCCTATATAAAATAAATGAATTATTATTATTATCGCAACGGCTCCATCTCAATAATATTTGTGGCAAACACACGTTTTGTTCAGCAGGATAATCTCTACATATAAAACCCAACTTTAATGAATTGTTAAGGGTTAAAAAGTAAAAAGCTAACATTAGGCTAGTATTCGGTGTTATGACGTTTAGTAGTCTCATTTAGCCACTTGTTGGCAACCATGTGGAGATTATCCTGCTAAACATAATCGGTGTGTATAATTAACGCTTGTTTTAGATCCTATTTTCTAGTGTTGTTGAGGGAGCCCTTGAGAAGCTTACTTCCAGTTTGGCGTACAAATAGTCCTGTCAACTCACAACAACTCATTGATAGATAGCCCTACGTAAGTAATAGGAAGAATGTGTATTGATTTGTTTTGTGGTGAACCGTCCTTTTTAAAGTCACCACAAGTGAAAAGGCACTTGATTCCGTAGTTTTTGTCACGGTTGCACGCAAATAAAAATCTGTAGTGAGAGCAAGTGTCCTCTGTCGTCAGTGAGCTCCACTCACCTTTTCCTCTGGTCAGCCAGGGAGCTTCCTCTTGTATGTGCAAACATGTCAAACTCCTCCTCCTCTTCTACAACACACATGGTTAAATCATTAGGTCACAAAAAAAGCAATGTTGTCCATCTTGGTAACCAAACATTTAAAATAATAAAACCAAAACATTTGTGAAATACTTATGTTTGCTTTTTTTTATTATCAAAATGTCATTGTTTGTTATTCATGGTAAGAGCATTATTCTATCATAATTCTGATAATGAATCAGAAATCCTTTATTGGTCCCACAGCCAGAGCGTTGATATCAGTAAGTTACAGCAAAGAACACAATACAGATTTCAAAAACAAACACACATATATTATAAATAAAACGGGCACATAAAATACAAATCAAAATAGTACATAAAACAAGTGAGTAGCAGCATAATAAAAGTAAAGAAGCAAAGGTTTTTAAAAAAAGTATAAAAGTATTCAAGCAGCAGCCAGTAGTAAGAATATTAAATTGTAAAAAGTAATAATATATTGCATATAATTGGTGTTGGAGAACATGATGTGTCCATAGACATAGTATCCTGCAACCTTTCAGAACATCATATTCTCCAGCAGTGTATCTTTTCATGTTGTCCTTTTTATAAGTAATCCTGTTGCAATAATGCAATGTTTGCAACATCCTGTTTTCTAACAGAAATATGCCAACCCAAGAAGGATGACCTGATCCATACCACAGCATATGTATGGCATTTGGGTTATAAAAGAGGGCACATGTGAATTTTACTCACTGTGGTTGGCTGATTGATGTTGATTGTCGGGAGCGCTGTCTGCTGATTGGCTGGTTGTTGTGATGACAGCAGGTTGGCTGAGAGAGGGGGGTTCAGGGATGAGGTCCAGGAGGTTAGTGGTGGTGCTAGAGCTCTGCTACGAGAGAGGATATGACTTATTGTGTGTATTGTTATAGAGGCAAACAAAAGAGGAGGAGCGAGACATCTTCTTACCTGTGGGGTATTTGACACTTGAGCCTTGTTCAGTCTGTCAAACCTAACAATACAAATAGAAAACAATTACAATCCAGTGAATATAAATTAAGTACAGAAGCCCTCAGAAGACATTTCTGGTGATTTTGTTTCTCTTATTTTGATTTAAATTGATTCTCTCCTTGATTTTCAGAAAAGGTTTTGCTTGAAGTAATTTAAGTTCTTTAAAACATAAATATATATATATATATATATATGTATGTATGTGTATATATATATATATATATATATATGTATATGTGAATGTTCTCTGTTTAATTGTCTTGAACATTTTCTTATTCTCCTCTACCCACAAGAGCCTAAAATGTACCAGCATTCAGGGTTTACTTCAGCCTTGTTTATTTAAAAAAAATAGTATTTTATAAAAAAAACAAAAAAAAACTCCTGTTGATCCTGAGAAAAAGAAATCGCCTGCTAAAACGTAACAATTGACAGATTGAAAAAAATGTAAGAAACTTAGAAAGACTATCCTGTCCAAATATTTTCCTATTCCTAAGTGATTAACACAGGAGAGACATCTTCCAAATGGATCACCAACTTTTTGTTACCTCATCGTGTTGTAATTGATCTTTAATACACCCTTAAAAACGTATAAATATAATCCAAGGCTAACACAAACCTCTCGTAGCGGATGAAGGCGTTGTTGAGGTCATCGTTGATCACTAGCAGCTCTCCAATGAACCCTTCATCCAGCAGCTGGGGGATGAGCTCCACCACTCGATTCTGCATTTTCTTACACACCGAGTACAGCTGCTGCTCAGGGGGGGGGTAGAGACTCAATCATTATCATCACTAATAACATGGAGTAGAGGTTAAAGACGTGAAATCTAGTCCAAGAGTTATACAATGATCATATGTACCCACTTCTCTTCATCCTGCTTCAACTACTTTTACAAGTATCACTAGGTAACTACATTTCACTCACTCACTCACTCACTCACTCACTCACTCACTCACTCACTCACTCACTCACTCACTCACTCACTCACTCACTCACTCACTCACTCACTCACTCACTCACTCACTCACTCACTCACACACTCACACACACACACACACACACACACACACACACACACACACACACACACACACACACACACACACACACACACACCACACACACACACACACACACACAACACACACACACACCTGTAGCAGCTCTCTGTCATCTTGCTTGCACTGCCCAGGCGAGATCTCATTCAGCATCTCTGACATCACAGTGAGGTTCCCCTTCACCAGCGCCAGCTCACTTCGTAGCTTCTGTTCCTGGATTACAATATATACAAATAATAGACATCAGTCAAAAGCCACAACACTGTTACATTTATTCTATTGTAATTGTGTTTCTGCTTAAATATGAAGAAGGCTGTATTACTCATAGAACTTCTATAATGCATTGAA